TGCAGTTCTTACTTAGGATAGGTTACAAGTTTAAGCTGCATCCTGCTCTCACATCCTGGGAAACTGATAACAAGAGCTACACAGTGTCCATGAGAACCTAAACAACAGCACTATTCCCAGCTTGTTAGCCAGATGACTTATCTTATCTATAAGGCAGTAAAACCAAAACTAAACCTAAAACCCCTGGCAGCAGGAGAGAACAAGACCATTATAAGGTGTTGGATTGAAGACACAGGAATGCATGAAGACAGAAACAAGGTCAGCAAGACCAATTTTGTGTGTCTTGGTTTTAATTGCTTAAGCATTCCTTTAACCATTGCTCAGGTTACAGCTCCTCTGCTGGCCAGGCCCCAGCATAAACTAATTAAATAACTTAACTAAATAAATAACTAATTAAAAGTAAAATTGCATATTCTGGATCATCCCAGGGGTTCTGCCTGTGTTATGCCTCACAGCACCACGGGTGGAGGAGAGAAGGCCATGCAGGTGATTTAGCCCTCATGGCACTGACTTAACCTGTCACTATGGCTGCATAAAACTTGGGTAAAACCAGGATCTAAGAGGTGAGGTTTTAATGACCATAACTTAAAGAAAATTTCATGTAAAAGGAAGAGGGGCTTTGCTGCTATCAAGTTGGTCCATAAGGGGTATCTTCTTGCCTCTTTCTTTTCTGTATGTCGTTACTTTGGTGTTGGTTATTAGATGGTAAGATGTATCGTCAACTAAAAGTTTGGTATATTTATCTTAAATGAATATTTGTGTTCAAGTGTTTAAGATAGTGGTCTTACCTGGTATCTTATTTTCTTCTTTTCCTGGTAAGACTCATAATCACAGTACTACAAAGTATGTTCCCCCTCAAGTAAGGAAAGCTCAAGAAACTCTAGATGACAAGAAAAGAGAAGAATTGGGAAGACTGAAGAAAATGGTGAATGGCCTCATTAACAGGTAATGTAATAAGGAAAGTCATTAATCTCTCTGGTTCAATGTGACAGTGCTCATCATTCAAAGACAAGTGGCAAAGATGTGACTTTTCTCTGCACAAACTGATTTTAAGTTGGCAATCATGCCTGCTATCCTTAATAATAATTACCTTTGTTGATATAAATTCTTCAAGGTTAGTCATTATAGGCATTGAAAAATCTAGAAAATAAATTTAAGGTTGGGCTGAATTCCACACAGCAGTTGCCTGCAAGTGCTGGGTATAATTCACAAAGTGTCAGTCGGAGTATGTTTGTACAAAAAAAACCTCTGCAAGCTTAACTCGCCCTCAAAAACCCACTTTTTTCTTTTTTTAAATAAAATTAAATTTCTCCAACACTATGGCTGAGTTGGAGCAAGGCTTCCTAGCTTAAAGTGCTGAAGAACCAAAAAAATAATTAACACTCGTTTTAATTGGAGAGTGTTTTTAAATAAGAAATCTATGGCATTGTTTTGTCTGTTTTCTGTAAAATGCAGACTAGAGTTTGTTCAATCATTTGCTCCACCATATATGTTAAAGTAGACAGTATTTTCATACTTAATTTCTCCAAAGCCTGTGATGTGCCATAGTTGTAAGTGCTAAGAATGCTTTGTTTTCTTAGCAAATCTGTTCAGCATGACCATAAGCACATGGACAGTGCTTTGTAAATACTGCTGTTAATCTGTTTTCCATGTAAATGTTTTTTAAAACTACACTAGGGTTAAGTATCTATTTTTAGTTTAGTGAACACAGAAAAGCACAAAAGGTCCCTTTCAGTCATCTTTTCAATCTTTCTCTTAAGCCAGGCTAGTTCCTCTGAAAAGGAATAGGTTGTTTGTTGGCTAAACTGAAAATTATGGAACTGGGTAAAAAGAAGAAAAAGTGAGCACTGCATTTTGTTTCTCCATAGGTTGAGTGAACCGAATTTGTCCTCCATTAGTGGACAGATGGAAGAGCTCTACATGGCCAACAGCAGAAAGGACATGAATGACACTCTGACAGATATTCTCATGAATGCTTGTGTCACTGCAGTTGCCATGCCTGCGAGGTTGGTGATGGAGCACGTCCTTTTGGTTAGCATTCTGCATCATAACGTAGGAATTGAGGTAATTCTTGTAGCTGGGACAAATTTGGCTTGATCATACACATTGTAGAGTGTTTTTCTTGATATTTTGTTTGAATTGCCTGGTAATTTTTGATCGTGTATCACTAAAATGCATCTTTAGTTGAGTCTCATCAGCATTTGTAGCTTATTTGCAAGGTGTCCACAAGTGAAAGGGTCCAAATCTGTTGTTTTATCTGATTTTGGTTCCTCCATGAGTTACTGCTGGTTAGTTATGAAAACACTTTTTTCATCAAAATCTTTCTGCATCCAGTAACCCAAAATTTTAAGCTTCAAGCTCGCTCTCCTTTAATTACACTAATATATTTCTGTTCTCTTGAGTACATGAGGGTATTGGTTTTGAACAATGTGTATCCAGATAAGAAAAGTCTTGCGGTTACAGAAATGCTTTTTACATCAGTGGAAAGAAGCTATTTTCTAAACCAAATCATCAGTGGAATTAACTAGTTATATCAGTGACTCCAGAATGTAAAAAATTCCAAAAAGCACGGCAATTTTGGGTTATTTTTGTTTGTTTGTTTGTTTACTTTTGTGTTTTTAAGCCAAATGAATGGCTGAGAGAAAATATCTCTTGCTTACTGTTAGGAAGATGAAGCTACTGATGTCAAAGGGAAGATTTTAGCAAACTTCAGTGAAATATCTGGAAGGAAACTGAGGTGTTTCAGCCCCATGTTCCCATCAAATTACATGTATGTTTTTCCTACATCTCAGTGCAAAAGATGTATTAATGCTAGTTCTTTGGTTTGGCATATATTGGCCTGAATGCTGGCTCTGAAACCATATTAAATATCAGATGGATGCACTTGGAGCACTGTTCTCCATGCAGCCTTGACATTAAACTTTTCTTTGGTCCCTCTTTGCTGCTTGAAAGGCAGTTTTGACTGCAAATACAATGTAACATTACAATGCTGTTTCAAGAAGAGAAATAAAATCTTTGTAGAAGTTGATAAATTGCAAAATACCTAGTAATAAGGTTTAAATATAGATATACTAATACATCTCAGAGATGTATAGATGCTATCCAGACTGTCCTCTGTCCTCCTGACTCAGTTACACAGCACCTTTGAATCCAAAATTGCAGTATCTAAGTTTGCTATAAAGCCCCATTGTTTTTTCTGTGAAATAAATGCAGAGTGTGCATTACATGAAAGTGTGATAATAGCTCTGCATTGAAGATTAGCTTGAGCAGTACAGAAGCTGAGATTCCAATAATTGTGTTCATACATTCATGCAGTCACTGGATAGTTAAAACCTAAGCTGGAAAAAGCTTGTAAGGCAAGTCAGTAGTGCTGCTGGGAGTTCTGGTTTTCATAAGAGTCAGCAAATTTTAGCACCATAATAATGGGAGAGTCTTGTTTAGCAGCAGTGTATTCATTACCTCCCTGTGTTTTGATATGCTTTCCAATTCCAGCCTTTAGCATCACTAATCTCTTCAGAAAGACAGAGATTGCAAAACTTCTTTTCCCAACTGTTCCACTGACAAATGGCTAAGAATTAGCCCCACTTCAAAATCAGCCTAAGCTCATGCTCAGCAGCTGTGAAAACTTGGTATTTTGGGGCTTGTTTAACAATATTGTTTAAAAATAATACTAACATTTGTCCTCCTGTTAATGATTTTGTTCTGGAATGCTGAACTCAGCAATATATTTGGTTTTTTGACAAGCAGCTTTTTCTGGATGAATGACTAGCATGCTAGCCTGACAGCTGGAAAGATGCTAATATGTGTCCATGAAAAGTGTGAGAGCAAATGCTGATGTATGTGTACTGTAATTTCATAACATCTACTTTGCTTGCACAGGCTTTAAAAGGTAACTGGATGTCATATACAAGGTGTAAATAATGTATAGTTTTAAGAAAACATCACACCACTTAGATATTTGTGTCTGTAAATGTAGAACATCCATATTGGTTGAGAGGAGCAACAGTATTTCTTTAAAATTAATAATGGCAGTGACCCAAAAATGAATGTTTTACAGATGTCTGTGAAATCTACTTAGAGTTGACTGCTGGATTGTTTTTTTTCCCTTGATGGAATTGTTGCCAGGTCGGTGCTCACTTTTTGGAAGCTGTGGTGAAGAAATTTGATGAACTCTGTAAAAGTGATGCTGAAGGGAAAGAATGTGAAAATCTGCTCGCCTTGATCGCTCATCTGTATAACTTCCATGTGGTTCATTCCCTGCTGGTCTTTGATATTCTGAAAAAGCTTGTTAGCACTTTCACTGAAAAAGAGATTGAGCTGATTTTGTTTCTGCTGAAAAACGTGGGCTTTTCCTTAAGAAAAGATGATGCACTGGCTTTGAAGGAGCTGATCACTGAAGCCCAGAAGAAAGCCAGCACAGCAGAGAAGAAACTCCAGGATCAGACTAGGGTATGTGTGTGTTTTAAAATATTTTATATTCTCAGTAGACTTTAATAAGTACTTGGATATGTGGGTTTATTTACAAAAATGTTTTCTGCTACCTTCTGTTTACATTCTAAATTACCAGTAGTGTTTGGTTGTTGCATGCAGTTATTTGCATTCTTCTTGGCTGTTTTGCTCCGTTAGTTCTTAGGACACAGACACCAAAAATGCTTGTGATGGGTGAGACTGAACTGTTTGTGTCTTATCTAACTTTGTACACTTCAGAAATTGTCCCTGAGGGATGGTGTTTAGCAGATCAAGCTTCAGATTGAAACCTGTACACCAATTAATATAATAGCAGTTAAAATAGGCATCAATTTGTATTAATGTCATCTGAATTTCTATGTATGTTGCCAGCTGAGCTGCTTATTCTCACAGAACAGTAATTTCAGTCTCTACTTCATTTAATAAACCTACAGCACACAGTCCACAGAAATATTTCTTCTCCCAATAGGTTCGTTTTATGCTGGAGACTATGTTGGCACTAAGGAATAATGACATGCGTAAGATTCCTGGTTATGATCCTGAACCAGTCGAAAGACTCCGGAAATTGCAAAGGACACTGGTGAGAAATTTCTTGGCATATGTAGCCTAGTTATTCTTAAACCAGGAGTGATTCTTGGTGTTGCATGTCAGCTTGATGGACTGTAGTAGTATTTTAAATAATTTAACAGTCTGAAACTCTGGTGGACAAAACTCACTTCTTAGATCATTAAGTGTTATCTCCTTGTCCCAGTTAAGTAAGCAGTGAAACAGCCTTCTGCAGAACAGTTTGAGAAAGGACACAGTGGTTAGCCAAAGAATTTGCCTCAAAGGCTTGTACTTGAAAAAGAGATTGTGGGATGTTTAATGATTGTCACATCAACTCGTTTCTTCTGCACAAATTCTTTTTTTCCCTGGATTTTGGATGCAGGCACCTACTCCCAACTTCACCAGAATTATTTTGGAATTACAGAATTTTAGGGGGTAGAATGGACCTTAGAGATCATCTAGTCCCAACCCTCTGCCCTGGGCAGGGACACCTCCTCACTAGATCAGGTTGCTCAAGGCTCATCCAGCCTGGCCTCGAACTCTGCCAGGGTTGGGGCAGCCAACACATCCCTGGGCAACCTGTGCCAGTGTCTCACCTTCCTTATAGTAAAAAACTTTTTTTTCCCATGATGTTTGACACTTCTGAGAATCTGAATGTTTTTTCTTTATTTTGTTTGGAGGTGTTTTTTGACACAGAGAGGTCAGTTTGTCTAGAACAACCCAGTATAAAATGTGTGAAAGTAATTTGTAGGTGCAGGATGTGCATAGCAGGATAACAGGCCAGGGAAAAACAAGCCAGGTAGTCTAGTTCTGTAGAATTTCCTCTCTTAAATTTTCACAGTCCTCCTAATATGTTTCTAGACTCTTTTGTTGAAAATTCTGATTTTGTTCAAAGAGTTTAAAATTTTGGTTACTTAAACTATACAAACCTTAAGGGAGTTTGTCATGTCAGTTTGTTTAATCACAAGTGTTCAAAAGGAGAAGAGTTTAAAATTTTTGTTACTTAAACTACACAAAACTTAAGGCAGTTTGTCATGTCACTTTGTTTAATCACAAGTGTTCAAAAGGAAAATCTTGACCAGGTTGTAAGATACTACAACTGATTTTCACTGCCAGAAATGTCTAAGTTCTAATCAAACTTTGTGATTGGAAGATGGCTACTTTGTAATTTGTTGTTTCTTTTTTAAACTAAAAAATTCAAGAGGTTCCACACGTAGATTTATGCAACTTTTTGTATTTAACAGCATTATGGGAAGCTTGTAAATCTGTTTCAGGTTGCTGACTGAAACAAAGGTTGGAAGGCAATATGGGAAGACGTTTATGGAGATTAACTTATTTATTTAAAAGTAATTATAAGTAATTAAAGTTTTTAGTTGCTTTTTTTTAAGAATAGAGCATCAAATAAAAGCTTTTGTGTTGATTTTTGTTTATATTTTGCTATTCCAGGTTCGCAGCAGTGGTTCAGGAAAAGACACTCAGCTCCGTGTGTCCCTGGAATCTCTCCTCAGCGCCGATCGGGTTGGTCGCTGGTGGATCGTGGGCTCATCCTGGAGTGGGGCACCAATGATTGAGGATACAAACAGCAAAACTCAGCAAAAACTGCATGTAGGAAAGGTAAATCCAAGCAATGCTAGTTACAAGTCTGAGTGGTTGTGATCTTCTTCATATTCTTCCCATAGGTGAAGTAAGTTCATTTCGGAGCTCACCAAAAAAACCTTCCTGGACTCTTGTAAGACTAAGCTTCTGGACTATAAATTCTGCTCTCATGTTTTTCAAAATGTTGTACTGATGTGCTTTATAAGAGCTATTACTACAAATATTATGGTATAGCTTATTTTTTCTTACCCTGAGAAATAAGTGAAAGAAGAGACTCGATTTAACAGTGGATTTGCTGGTATGGATTCTGACAGGTAGTGTTATCTGTCTGTGGGTGGCATATATCCAAGCTGATTCTAGAATTAATTTGGTGAGATGGTCATGATGACTTATATTAGGGAAGCAAGTCTTAAAAATAATTGGCACGATTAAAATAGATTAAAATATGTAGTTGAAAAAGCTCCTGATGATGCTCGTGCCTCTGGGACAAAAGCTCAGGACCTTTAGATTGCTGATTCATAGTTTACTGGAGAGTTTCATTATTTTTCAAGGCTGCACAGAAATAGCTCTGTTAAATCAAGCATAAATAAAATAGCATATGATTTTATCTTCAGGTGAGTTCAAAGATACTGGAGCTCGCTCGTAAGCAGAGAATGAACACTGACATCAGGAGAAGTATTTTTTGTGTCTTGATGACAAGTGAAGATTTCATGGATGCTTTTGAAAAGCTTCTCAAGTAAGTACAGACTAGCACAGAAGACAGTCCAGAACTAAAAACAGCATGAAATGGGTTGGAAAAATAACGTTGCTGGTCTGGGCTTAAGAGCATTTAGTTAAAAGAAAAAATACAATTAAAAGAAGTGCTAGGGATCCACGTAGGGTAAAAAGGGAGGAAAAGGGAGCAGATCCCTGGTGTAAGGACTAAGAAGGTAGGTAGAGCTGACCAGCAGTGAGAGGAAAGGAGTAGCCTCTGTTCTTGTCCCTCATGGCTATAGCTGTGATTTACAGCTTCTTCCTTACAGATGTAAGGAGTCTGTAGCTTTTTGCATTGAAGCTGTGTATCCCAGCTGGATGGAGGGATGTTGCAGACTTGCTTCCTTGCAGAGGCAGACCAGAGGCCTCTGCAGATCATCTCTTGGTTTTGTTGCTGGATTTCTGTGCTGCTACCACTTCCTTTACTCCTTACCACCTTGTTAAGCCATCTCATAGGTCTCTGTCCATACTTGCATGACCTGATAAGTGTTCTAGCACCTCCACTTCCCTCTTGCAGAATTTATTAGCTTTGGATTTGCTCCAGGATCACATTTCATGTTAAGACCAGTTTCTTTATCCCTTGACAGACAGCTCTTCAGAAGAAGATGTGACCAGGGGAAAACTCAAACTAAGCTATTCTTTGTGTTTGTCAGAATATTAATTTTAAGTCTGTAGTAACAGGGATGGAGGGGAGAGATCAGGTCTGAACTTTTCTGTCGCAGCCTTGTAATTCAAGGGAATTGTCTTACCAGGATGGCACGCAATTATTTAATTTGCTAACCAAATCAAAACAGACTTTGTAATAAAGTCAACTAATATTTGATTAAATGCCACTTCTGCACAACACAGCTTGGATTTAAGACTCTGATGGAGTCATTCCAATATCTTAATATGGACTGTTCAATTAAAAGAAATTAGCTTCTGCTGCTGCAGCTTTTGCCAAGACCTGGTAGCTCAATTTGCAAATTGGGCTTGACTCTCATCTGTGCTATTTAAACTAGTACACAAATCTGAATACATAGAGGCTTGGCAGGAAAACTCTCTGCAGATTGCCTGGTGTAAGTTGGAATGGATTTTATTCAGCAAACTCAGAGAGAGGCATTCTCAAATCTGCCCACATCTGGTAGAGTATAATGGAAAGTACACAGAATTGTCAGTGAAGGAATTAACTTCAGTGTGACTGTGTTCCAGAGTGTATGGGAATTTATGTTCATGTGTTTGATGTCAGTCTCACGAGGAAGAGCATGTATAGAAATATTTTAACTACTCTTGTTGATTCGTCTGTTGCTAGGGCTGTGGTGTGGTTAAAGGATGATTTAAACTATTTAAAATCCAGACTGCTATACTTTTGATAGTCCTCTGCCTTACTGCAAAAGCAAGTAATGAGTTTGAAGCCAGAACAGTTCCCTGAAGTGGCTCAGCTTGTGACTGCACAAGTGTCAGTGTAAAGGGAGGGTTGCAAACATCACTGGAGACAAAGAGGAGAAAGTGAGACTTGATCTGCTTCCATGAGCTGGAGGGCCACACCTCCTGCACAAACCACAGTTCCACTCAGGAGAGGGAGTGAAGGCTGCTGAAGTTTGAAGGAGAGGCAGTTTTCAAAGCTGTTGTGTAGAGATGAAGAATTTGAGAAACTTTACATCTCAGAAAATACTGACACTTGTAAAAGCCTCAGCTATCCTGTTCTAGTGCGATGTGTAATTCAGGATAGTGAGTATCTACAAAGTGATTGTATCTGCTAAAATAGTTAGAACTGACTTCTAAAGGTGGGTTTGGGAGTGGTCTTGGGCTTCAGCTGTTGATAACTAACCTACTTAGAGACAAGCCTCTGCTGGTGATAGACAGGCAGTTACCCCATCTGTAGCTGGAAATTCTGAAAGCAATCATACAAGTCCGTGAGAATACTGTAACTCATGAATTTTTACCAAAGATTATCAGGGTAATGAGATCTGTACATGCTTTATGATGAAGCTCAGCAGTAAAAGAGAGCCTGGACTTTGAAAGTTTTGATTTTGGGGAATTCTAGGTATGTGATGAAGTGAAGATAAGAACGAAGTTGAGTATCCAAGTGTTGTTACTTGGTTACAACTGTCTAGCAGCAGGAGTATTTCCTAAATAAGCAAGTCATGATAGAAGTGATGACAAACAAGGAAAAGGAGAGTGTGCCAAGCTAGTGCTTGCAATGTAACTTCCGAAGTCAGCCATTAAATACGTATCTGGTGGCTGAAAACCTGTTTATTTGTGAAAAAAAAAACAACACACCTTTTGTTGCTCTGTCCTAAAATCGGATGGAACTTGGCTGATGGGAGAGCAGGTGAGTTATGTCACAGACATAACACTTACAGTGCTGGTCTCTTTTGGAGAAGCAAACTTCTGAGTTCTCAGTGTTCATTAACAATCAGCCTAGAAATCATCCCAGATTTTCCTATTGTAAAACCTTAAATTCTGGGGAGTTTTGGCTGAAAGACAGTATTTTCTCTGTTAATCTGGTGTGTCTGTGATCAAATGCAAAGCAGATGTCTGGAGGTGTACAAACAAGGGATATTAGCATCAAGCAATGACAAACTACTCTACAGATGGTAGGGCAAGTTCCAGTGGAGTCAAACTTGGTTAGAAAGTAAGCTTGAGTTGTACTAATGCCATATGAAACTCGAGCTTGAAGCAATGAGAAGAATTTTGTTTGATATTTTTCAGATTATAATAGGAAGCATTTTTCATTTTAATTGGTTTTAATGCTGCCAAGCATTTGGCAGCCCTGGGAGTTAAATCATATTATTCACAGACCAAGTGCATTGCAAGTTAGTTACCATTCCCTGCCAAAGTGTCTCAGCACTCTTTTGGACTGGTCAGCTGCTCAAGTGGGAAGGCTGCTTGGTCCTTGGCCTTCACACTTGGAGCAGCCAACATAAGTACTCATAGATACTGTTTTCTTCAGGCTTTTAACATTTTTTTAAGGTGCTTTGAAATCATTGACTGCATCCTCTTAGGCCACTAACAGACAAAAATGATTTTCAAGTATTGTGCAGCGTGGAGTTGACCTAGAGATAAAAAAATTCTTATCACCAATTAAGTAGGAAAAACATCTTGGAATATTTTCTTAGCCCTAAGTAGCACAGAAGTAAAGGGCCCTGAACATGTTTCTCTAAGTAGGCTTATACTGCTCCAAGGGCTGTTTTTCCTCCCATGACCATAGGTACAAGTGTGAGATAACTGCTATGGGGTCCTGCAGTTGTTGTTTTGCTATTTAACCTTTGTGGTGGTGTACCAGGCAGCAGTGTTTGCCACTGCTGTGTTCAAAGGCACAGTCATGGTAACTGTGCCCTCTCCTCTGTTTTAGTTCATGAGAGCTGCAGACAAGAAGTGGGCTACCTTTCCTTCCCCAGGGAGGGATTACACTTGTATCATTCCTCTTCTGTCTGTTGAGGTTTTGCTTTTGCAGCCACTCTGTCAACACCCAAAATACTGCAGCAATTCCACATTTGCCATACCCAGGACACTGTTTTAGCACAGAGTCTTAAAGGTTTGAGTCCATTTAGTGTTTTAAAGACTTCATAAGAACTTCCTAATGAGTACAATTAATGTGATGTTTGGAGGTTTTTTAAAGTATTGCTCTATGATGTTGACAGTAGCTCTTACTTTGTAGCAGTACTTTTTTTTTCCTAATTAAATGATTCTCATTCTCTTGCTAAATTTTAGGCTTGGACTGAAGGATAATCAGGAGAGAGAAATAGTTCATGTTGTCCTTTACTGCTGCTTACAGGAGAAGACATACAACCCCTTCTATGCATTTTTGGCTAACAAGTTTTGTGAATATGAAAGACGATTTCAGGTAAAGAAAAATCTGTTGCTTCTTTGGTTTAGTGTCGTAATTGTGGTTAGGAAGACAGTTATTGAATACCTGTTAGGATCTTGATCTGAGGAAAAGTTCTGCTGGTATAGCTTGGCATTCAGTAAAGCATGCTCATGGTCAGATCTGAATAGGAAATAAAATAACTACTGCAGAAGGTTTGTTTTCTTCTGCTTTATGCATTGGAACAGTCTGATCAAGCATTTCTGTTAATTAACAGAGGGTCATAAAGAATAGAAGGTCAAAAGGTTTGTTGTGTTGTTACTCATTTAAACAGCTGCTTGATTTGTAGGATATTTTTTTACCTTTGACACCTAGGTGACGTTTCAGTTTAGTATTTGGGACAAAATCAGAGACTTGGAAAACCTGACAGCTGCTGCCAACTCCAACTTGGTTTCACTGTTGGCTCACTTAATAAGGACAAAATCGCTGCCACTCTCAGTTCTCAAGGTCAGTGTGTTTTCAAATACTTTTGGGCTTGTCTTGCATTTGCTAGTTCTATGGAATCTTCAGATTAGATGTTAGGGAAAAGTTTTTCACTGTTAGGGTGGTCAGGCACTGGATTAGATTGTCTGGGGAGGTGGTGGAATCACCATCCCTGGAAGGGATTAGGAGATGTCTGGTTCTGATGCTGGAGAGTATGGTTTAGGGGTTACAGCAGAGTGGCAGGTTAATAGTTGGACTCAGTGGTCTTAGAGGTCTCTTCCAACCTTATGATTCTATGATGTATTTTCTCTGTTACCCAGCTGGTATTTTAGATGTTTATGCTACCTGGGCTATTACCAAATTAATCCAATTGATTATGATAACGCAGTCATTTGGGGAAAAGGGAACCTGTGGTGACCCAGGCATACAGAAATTCTACAGTTCTGCATCTAGAGCAATTGTAAGATTATTTTTCCTTAGAGTATCCAGAGTTGGAATTGAGGCCCCTTCATTAACAGATTTGGTCAGTAGATTTTGTGCAGTGGTTTTTAGCTGATGTTGATTTTTATTAGACAAGAAAGAAATCTACTGAGCACTTGGGTTTCAGAATGGGGAGTCCACGGGATTTTATTAGAAGAATAACTGAAATTTATTAAACAAGCAGTTAACTGGATTTTTAATGAAGTATTTATCTAGTTGAGAAATTATATCTGGTATTCTGGTACTCTGTTCCTTAGGAGGCTCTCTGCTGTCCTTATTAATTGGCTTTGGAAGGCAGCATTCTCAGCTAGTTCAGTGCCAAACTTAAGACTTGGTGTATGTGGAGGCCAGGTGGTGTGCTACAAGCTGTTCATTTGGACAAGAATTCAGCTGTTTGACATACTTGAATTAATCTTAATTCTCCCTCTCTGCCTACCAGGTAATTGAATTCAGTGAACTAGATAAACCCAAAGTCCGTTTCTTGCGACAAGTGTTAAGCATGCTGTTAATCAAAGCAGATGCTGAAGAACTTACTGATATTTTTATGAGGTAAGTGATCAGAGAGATCCACAGGGAAGCCTTGAGTAGTAATTAAGAAGATAAAAAGTTTGCTTGTTTTGTTTGGAATTACATAGTGCCTTTTCCACATATCAGCTCTCCAACCCTTAAAAAGTCAGCTCTCCTGGCTGAGTGGGGGAAGTGTATCATTTGTGTGTTGGCACAGGCTCTGACAGAGATGCAGCTGTAAGAGTTATACAAAATAAAGCTTCCAGATAATCAGCATATCATTTTGGTCGTAGGAATTTCATGAGCAGAGCTCTGTAATTACCTGTTTCCCTTATTGCTTTACCATCTGTGTGCAGTGGGATTCACTGTACCAGCAGTCATTGCTAGAGGATATCTTTAGTGTAAGAAGAAAAAATAAAGTAATACTAATGAGGGAGAGGTTTGGGGGGGGTTAAAATGGGCGTTTTTTAATCAACATTGTCTGAAAAATCTGATTTTTGATATGGGACAGGGTTGCCTGGAGAGGCTGGGAAATCTCCATCCTTGGAGATGCTTAGGACTTGGTGGTGTTCCAGGTCTTATCCACTCAAGTTAGAAGTCAGTTGGTGATGTTTCTACTGTTGTGCACCAACACAAAGAAGCCTTGTTTTTTTGCTGTAATGTAATTGTTAGAGCAAGTCTAAGGCTCCAATATTCCATTGTATTGTTGAGGGCCAGTTGTATGTTGAGTGTGTTTGGACTCTTTCCAAACCAATGTAGACTTCTCAGTAATTTCAAAGCCTCTTCAGAGAGGCTCCTTTTATAGGTTGAGTTTTTATTTCTACGTCTCTACTTGAAGAAGATAAAGAAAATCAAGAAACTTCTGAAACAGTAGAAGATTAAATAATATTTTTGATCTGTGTCTTTCCAGGGTATCTGACAACCCCAAACTGGGAATGCTACGGGAAAGCTTGAAACTCTTCCTTACCCACTTCTTACTGAAACATGCACAAGCCCAAAAAAGTGCTGAAGAAACTGCCTTGTTAAAAGAAAGAGTTGAACTAGCAACTAAGGCTTTGGAGGCAAAAGAACCCAAATTGAAGCTATAGTTCTGTTTTTCTAGTAAAACATAAGTAAAACCAAGTCTGGGTCTTTCAGACACAAGTGATTGAGAATGAGGAGAGCTGTGTTACTCTAAAGGATCCATTTTTTAAATGTAAACAGTTACTTTGCTCCACACTCTAGCTACAGGTTTAACTGAGGGGATACAAAGGTTTTTTGAGTAAAGGTAAAATGTGGTTTTGTCATGTCCCTTTTTTAGTACAAGTGCTTTGTGTTGATGGTTAGTGTCTCTGGAGAAGAGGGTGACTTCTGTGGTACTGTCAGTCAGCAGTAGTGTTCTGCATTGCATATTCTAACCTTTCATTTTAAGTAGCAGCATCATAAATAATAAAGAAGGAGCCCTAACTAGAGGCTTTTATTAAGGAATCATTGTACTTGCCTGAAAAAAGGAGCCACTAGATGGCACAAATACTGGTGAGTCGGTTTGGGAAGAAATTAACTTTCAAGTGTTGGAAGTTACTCACTAATTCTGTGAATTGTTTCCCTGGCTGTGGGTCAGGAAAAGGTACTCAGTTGGATTCAAAGCTGTAGTAAAGCAGCTTGAAGATCTGACTTCACCCAGTTATACTGGGTTTAGTGACTATAGGAGTTTTATATGCTTGTTGCATTTTTTTTCCTTCTCTTGCTCAGCACTGAGTGAAGAGTAAGGTTTCAGAATTGTGTGGCTTGTGATGGGATCTTGATGTGATTCTTTCATCTTACTGACCAGCATGTTGCTGCTAGAATTCTAACAAGTGGATCACTGAGATGCGGGGAGAAAACCAGCCCCAAATTTGCCACTGTTCTTTTTTAAGAATTATTTATAGGTGGGAATCTAATTTTGGAATATTTTTTCTACAACAACAAATACACTGTTAAGAGAGCTGAATATATTTACAGTACCTCATGCAAACATTCCTATAAGGCTTCCTGCCCATCCTGATTGATGTCTATTGAGCTATGCTGACTTACGAAAAACATGGATTGTATCTATCATATGTTGATTGATGTCTATTGAGCTGTGCTGACTTATGAAAAACATGGATTGTATCTATCATATGCCATTCAAAGTTACAGTATCTCTGCTTTTCAGACAAAAATTCAACTTAGTGTATTTAATGGAACAAAATATTTTTGGTGTTTAGGAGCTGCTTACTTTGCATGGAGAATGTCTAATGTAGTAACTTTTGCATGTATTGCTTTTTCAGACAAAAATTCAACTTGGTGTATTTAATGGAACAAAATATTTTCCGTGTTTAGGAGCTGCTTACTTTGCATTGAGAATGTCTGATGTAGTAACTTTTGCATGTATTGCTCAGTGAAGTGACCAACTTTGGGAAAAGATTGGTAAATGAATCCTTTTTAGTATTTTTTTCATAAAACAATCAGTGGAGGAGTTCATCTATTGAAATTGGAATTCTACATAACAATTTCTTCCCAAAAGAAAGCACCACCACAACCATGTTGGGGTTGAACTTGATGATCTTGGAGGTCTTTTCCAACCTGGTTGATTCTATGATTCAATTGCATTTTTAGCCTGGTTTTTGCAACTTTAGAACTGGAGTTTCCTAATCACTTGTGTCAATCAGGCGAAGAATATCATCAGTGTGAGTTTTAATAAGAGAACACCTTGCTTAAAAATTTGCTTACATCTTCCATTCAGGTGTTTGAAATAAATCAGGTGCACTTCTTTAACACTGTTAATGGTTTGTTTCTTTTGTCACCACTGCACATTAGACTGCCAATGCCTAAGGGCATTGCTGTCTGTGTTAGCTTTACTCTAGCCCATTTTCCTAAGGCTTTGCTGTCTGTGTTAGCTTTACTCTAGCTGGCCTGGCAGGCAGGGAACATCCTTAAATTGCAGGAAGATGAGGGAGCACTTTCTCATCTACGATGTGCACTGCCTCTGCATGACCTGCCTGTGCTGGAGCTGCCATCCCTGTTTCTGTAGCCAGGCTTGCCCTCTGGTTTCCCATAGGCCATTTACTTAATGGTGCCTCCAAATTGTGTTTGGTACCAATTAATCTGTTCAGCTGCTTTGGATCTATCCCTGTTGGGAAAATTTATTTTTAAATCAAATCGTTTCATGTAGAGTACTCTGCTTGCTCAAGTATATAAGTAATGTTTTCAGGCAGAGGAGTGCTTCCCTCAGAAGTATATGAGTAGTTTTCAGGCAGAGGAGTGCTTCCCTCAGCAGCCAGAGAGCTCTTTTTTTCTCAACTTTCCTCTGTTGGAGAGGGGAAGTTGGAGGGAACAAGGTGGCCTGGGAGCAAAGAGATCCACTGTCAAAATCCCAACTTACACTAGAGGTAACAACTAGCAGAGAAGAGATTACTATCACAAGAACAAAGCACGATGCTTTTTCAGCCTGTTTTATACCATTTCTAAGTGTACAAAACTGCCCATTTCCCCTCAGTTGCATCTTATATGCAACAAGCAGAAGAGGAAAAAATTTAGTTGAAATATTTCTAAAATTCATACCACTTAACAAAAGCATGAGCAATGGCAGAACTAACACTGTTTTGATGGCGACAAAAGTCACCACTTCAGACAGGGGTGGAAGCAGCTCCCTGGCAAACAGCCATGCCAAACCTTGTATTTAGGTTTGGGAGTATGGGAGAAAATCTGTGCAAGCCCCTGGAAACACTGCTGTGGAATGCATGGGACCTCAGTGAGTAAAACTTGCTCCCCTAGGCTGCAGCAGCCACTTAATTAATTACCTTTTTTCAAGGCATTTAGGTAGACCCAATGTGTTTGTGGTTGAGTAACACCTAAATGGAAACACATTGCTCTAGGGAGGTCGAGGTAACTTTACTTCTTGAGATAAGTTTTGAATCATCTTCCTCAAGTCCATAGTGACAGGCCTGGTACGAGTGCTTTGCCTGGTGATCAGAGGTGACCACACTTTGCTCCTGTGGCAGGATTGCCCCGTTTTATGAGTTTGAGTCTATTCACTTGCTACAGCTGCCTGAGGCAGTGCAGTGCAGGTGTTGCTGTGCAATTAGAGGGGGTAGCTTTAACCTTACAGTCAAAAATTACCATTCCTTTTTTTTTTTAAAGTAAGGCTTTGATTAGTTATTGTTTACCCAAAGAGCTAGTATGTTGTGTTCAGACTTAATGTTACCAGAGCCATTGCTTCGTTTCTGATGAAAACATTTTACCTGGCTGCAGCTTTTGTACTTGCCACATTTATGTATAAACATTTTTTTAAATGACTTTTCAAGGAAAGCAGCTGAAATACACTGCCAGCTCACAGTGCTGTAGTCATGGTGCAAGGACAGTTTTTGTGGGTGATTCTACATAAATCAAATCCTCTCACTGGGATTCAGTGAGGGAATAACAGTCCAACAGAAATTCTGACAATTCCAAGACAAATGTGAATTCATGAGTCTTGGATCGTAATTACCATATTTAGCAACATTTTCCATGATCCTCCTGGCCAGACTGCCCCAGCTTGACAGAGGTGGAAGGCCTGGCAGAGTCTGCTGTTGATGTACATACACATCTGCAAGCTGCTGTGGTCGTCCCATCCCACGGATATAAAGCACATGGGAAAAGGAAAGCTGAGAAGATTTTGTATGTATTTATATAAGTATTTGTATGAAAATAAATACCCATAATAGATACTATTCATGTATATATCTGTGTCTGAATATACATTACACATAAAATATATATTTTTAATCTATCATACTTTTAACCCTGGAGAAAAAATCTTGTCCCAGTAAAGCTGGCCCTGCCTGAGTGTATTCTCCTTATAGCAAGGCTGTCAGTCTGTAAGAGCAGCAAGACCAAATGCTGGCAAGCAGCTTCCTGCAGGACTGCACAGTAAGCACTGCCTGCCAGGAGAGCCTGCTGGGGAAGTTACACCCAGCTGGGACTTGGTTTGCTTTGTCTGCCTTGGAGTAAGTGTTCAATAACACACACAAAGTGCTGCACCTCGAGATTTCTTCCTATTGATATCAGTCTGTTAGCCAACATGAAACCTTTCAGAGAAACGTTCCCTGGTCGTTCCAGTAACAGAGATTCCGCTTAAAATGTCCAAAATTCTTCCATAAAGGAGGTTTGGGGGAGTTACTACTTAATGAGAAGAAAAGGGCTTTGGGTTGGTAAAAATACACTAGGCTGGAAAACCAAGCATCTACGGTTGCAGCACTAATCCTTCCTCCTGCCAAGCCAGTGGAAAACACGTCATGATTTGCTTTAGATGCATTTAACTAAAAGCTGGATGTTTGATTTTTTTTAGCTATATAGCAGAAATTTTCGATTCCCCCTTTAAGCCGCACAATCCGCTCATTGCTATTACAGCAGTTTCAATTTTTGTTTTCTTTTAAGCTGGACAGCAATGTTTTAAACTTTCTCTGGTTTTTATATCAAAACTAACAGGGCAGTGAAGTCTGGTTTTTAGCTTTGGCCAGAGTGTTGCACTGATAAATCATAGGCAAGTCCTTTTGGCAGGGTTTTAACACCGCACCTGAATGGGCCAAGTATCTGCAGGGCTTTTTTAAGTTGACATTTTTCCATTGTCCCGCACACTGGGGTGATAGCAGTCGTGCTCCAAAAGAGCAGATGCAGCAGGTCTGCCCTGCTGGCTCTGGGGAAGGTGTGCAACCCAATCCTGCACTGAGAGCACATCTGGGATCGTTTGGTTCCCATTGTTCTACGGGTGAACTTTGCACGTGAGAAGTTACAGCCCGGGAGCAATGTGGTGCCAATTGTGTGTGACAGTGATTTCAGCTTCAGAAATATCTGAGTGGCCAGTCTAATACTCCAACTTTTCTTGCATTGAGTGTAATTATGGCTTAGTGCCTGGCTACATCCTCTGTGTGACACAGTCTATATGTGATTTTTTTTTTTCCTGCAGTAGATGAAGCAATTTTGCTTGCAGAAGACAATTTGATCTGTAGGGTCACTTTTAAAAGGCAGGTGTATGTTTTACTCAAGACTTTTGGGGTTGGACTGATTTCAGGAATTGTAGGTAGAGATATGACTCTTTTACCATATGCCA